AAACAGCAGGTGCATTGTGAATTGACTGCATTTCTGCAGATTAGCGTTCCCATTGCTGCGTCTCTAGCAAACAATGATCTAGAGTCAGACTGAGAAGGTAGAAATTGGATTTAAACACAAGCGTGGAATTCCTTCACAAAGGTAGGGAAGAAGTTACTTCAGTAAGTGGTAATCTCCAACCTCTCTCCCCCCTCACTCAAACTCAAACCCTTCCAAATCTCTTTCCATCTCAGCCATTAAGCAAACCACATGCTTATTCTCACCATGACACACAACTCCCATCCCAAAACCCACTTCCACCATTCCACTTGAGAATAGGGATAACAGAATCCCAAACCAAACCTACTACCCAAGTGCACACTACTGAGTAACCACACTGCCACAGCCATTGTCTCCCCTTTTCTCTCTGATAATAACATCAGTTCAGACACAATTGCTTCGAAGCAGCTTCTAATTAATATTTACAGGTACCAGTGCACAAGTCAGGGTTATTAAAGAAGCTAACAAGAAAAGATGCTTTACATGAAAACATTCCAAAAGAATGGTGAATGCCTGGATGTCTCGCATGAATGTTTAATCAGCTGTGCACTTTTCTTCTTAATACATAAAAAAGTTAAACCAAAATGCCAGCTTGAAGTGGAGCACTAACTCTGACACCAAACAGACTCCCAAACCAAACACTGCACTGATGGAAGAGGCAAAAAAGAATCTACCATGCTATTCTCCAAAAGAAATGAAAACGGTATTCAAGAAACCAGAAGTGAGACTTAGAGCTTTAATGCAGTGGCACTCAGCTGGCAGGTTGCAATCTTAGAACCTTTTAAGGCAAGAGGCTATTGGAGAAACTTAGATTTAGCAGTTCTTGCTGTGACAGTGTCAATAAAGCAACCAAAAAAGGCAGAAGACAGGCATGGTGGATACTCATGTATCTTATGCACTTAGGAAGAGACCCCTGCAAGATGCCTATCTGAGAAACCACAAGTCTTGGTCCAGAACATGCCTTAAACAAAACGATTTTAAGTTGACAAACAAAGCCAAATAACGTCACCCTGAACCTTGTAAGCTTTCCATAAGTGATTCATCATCTCTGCAAAGCAAGAGCCTGCTTCCACAAAACCAGAATGCCTGTTATGGTCTCAGTAAAACAGTGCCTACAGTGCTCATATTCTCTGTCTGGGTGCTCAGTGATGTCTCAAAAGAAATTAAAAAAATAAAGCAACAAAACAGTATTTCAGGCCTGTGAGGTAAAGCCCTTCTTGTTGTAGAGACACAATAAAGACCCTCCTAGTCTGTGACAGTGGCACAACTGAATGGATCCACCCCAGCACAGATCCTCCTGGGAGGAAGGAAAAAGGAGAGGACAGAAACAGGAAAAGCTGCAGACATTAAAAAAGTGTAACCTTCAAGCTCCTTCATATCTATGTTCTACCAGGCAGCCCACTCTCAAAAGCAAACGGAGGAGTCAGCCACAGTCACACCTTTAGCCTTGGCTTGAAAGCCTTTACAGAACTGTAGTGAAGGACTTGAGCAAGGCTTTCAGACAGCAAGGTGGTGCACTGTCCTATATATCTGCTTTTCAGTCTGACAGATAAAAAGAACCTGTATTTGTTCCCACGCTTACTGCAGACAAGAAGGGACATAGATGGCCGAATTCATCTGCAGAAACACCTTCACATTCTGATTATGGTGACAGATTTAGAATTACACATGAAAAAAAATTAGCTTGCGCTATCTGAGGAGTCCTAGAAGCATCACCCACAGCCTCCAGCATCAGAGCCATTCCAGACTAAAGGAAGTCTCTAGAAGAGACCAAAACTTGTTGACAAAGTCAAAAGAAAATACAGTTTAGCTCTAAAAATCTAAATTTACTATATGATCCAAACATAAGACACTCAAAAAAGACCTTGAAATTAGAAAGTTCAACATCTATGACTTGTCTATAAAGAATCTATTTTTACCAGTTATGCTGGAAGACTAAAGTGACGTCATTCTCCATTCATTCTTATCCCAGAATACAAGAAGCTTTTTCATTTTAGCTTAGGATTCTGCTAAAGCTAACCTTAAAACCCACTCATATCAATTTATCTGTTAATAACCTAATATTACAATCTGTATATACATTACAAACTGTATTAAATGCTTTCATGCAGACATGACTAAGTTTACAGTTGTCAGTTGTATTCAATAAGCAGTAAGATGACAACAGTGACAGGTTAAACACAGGCAGCACATGTACAGAGATAACATCTTATTAGACCAAATAACACAGTTACAGCTTGTGTCTTCCTCCTCCTTCCCTGTCCATAATAGAAGGATATTACTAATATCTGCAAAAAACACCCTAATTCACATTCTTAGACCAACACTACTGCTATTGCTATCACAAACTAAATATATTTATGAATGAATTCAAATGAGATTCTGGAGAAACTGCATGAAGAAAGTGATACCATTAGACTGACACACAGGAGGAGAGGCTTTAGCTTAAATTTAGAGGCCATATGCACACAAACAGTGCAGAGGACAAGTTTTTCATGCCCCTTACTAGGTCATTAGGTAAGCAAAACTGAAAAGATATAATAATGAATCTTAGAGGGAAAAAAACAACTCAGATGCCCACAAAAGATGAGAGCTGAGGAAGGCTTGTCTCCCAGGCACCCTGCACAAGCACAAGGGTCACTCCCTGCCCAGAGCTCTACGTATAGTAGAACCAACTGGTGTTTAATGCCCCTTACACCTTTCTCCTAATCTCTAGGAAAATGAAAGGAAAGAGAGTATTTAGCAATTACATTAACCAGTTTAGAAAGACAAAGCATCAAGACAATTTGCCATGGCTTTTATATTAAACAAAATTCACTGGATTCCAGGAGAAAACCATGAGCTGCAGACAGCTAGACACAGTACCAACTCCCTGTCCTACATCAGATCTGGAGAAGCAGGGAAGCCAGAGCATTGAGATCAGAGTGAGAAAGAAATACACAAAGAAATGCATGACTCTGCTCAGGTGAGCAAGCAAAGAAGGAGGGATACAGGAGCCAAAAGGAGGAGCAAGAACTCTGTACAAGAGATTTCATTGTGAAGTGTCAGCAGAAGAAATGAAATGAGTCATGAGACAAGTTCCAGCTCTAAGGACCCCTGCACAGCAGCTCCCTCTAATCAGCCAGGAGAAATAATGAAGCAGAGAAGGAAAAAGACAGCATGTCTTGAATGCACAGAGCAGAATTCAATATGGAATATTCAACTAACAAATTCAGCCACTGCACAGTAAGGAATAAACACTTCTTTTTGCTCAGTATGAAATGAAAGACAACCTTAGCATGGCTGATTGAATTGCTGCCCTGACTGGGTGCTCCTCCTGTGTGAATATTATCTGCAGGGGAACACAACTGTCTGCGTGCATTTGCCTGGCTCTGTGAACAAAGAACTTACCATCTTTTCTTTTCCCAGCAGAACAAGCCACTCCAGACAAATGAAATGGAATAACGGAAATATTGAGGTCTGTGCTTGTGACACACCCGCCTCACAAAATGGGCCCAGCAGCCACCATATTTCTGCTCTTCCAGACCACGAAGCTGCTTGGGAAAAGCTACTAGGCAGTGACTTCTGCATTATCTCCCCTCATTTACATCTTAACAAACAAGGCCACAATGACAGGGGAAGACATTCACTCACCCTGTACTTCTGAATATTTAATTGCTAGAGCATGAAATGACAGCTTCACAGAACAACATTCTAAGGAAAAAAAGTATCACCACTTAAAAAGTCAGAAAGGGATTAATATCTTGCTTTTCTGGGAATAGTTAGTGTTACCAGTATCCTTCACAAAGGGACTTCACTCTGACACAAAGGACATGGAGCTTTAACAACATGCCATCTCAAGTATGTACCACTGCAGCAAGTGAACATGAAAGTTACGATAGTAGCAAAGTTGACAGCATTCTCTGCTGGCAGCAGCAACATAAAAGCCCAGATTTTTGAGGCGTTCACAGCGTCCATCAAACACAAATCCCTACTACACTACACCGTAGACTACTTCTATGACCACGCTCAGAATCATCCTATGTTTTAATCACAATATACACAAAGGGAGAAAAAATTCAGTGAAATACTTGAAGTACTCAGGGAAAAATCCTGCATTTAAAAGGAAATGACTGAAGACAGATTAGAAAGGTCATATTCTCTTTTCTGCTAAAATGAATTTTAATCTAAATTCCTGAGCTTTTGGTCTCCATGGCATCTAAACAATCCGCTACTACACTTCCATTTATTGGAAAGGGTTTGCAATAAATTTGTTTGCCGGGTTTATACTGGGTATCACTTGAAGTCCAAAAGCAGATGCTGGAAAGCAGACTTTAAAAGTTTGTCAGGAGAACCACTCAGAAGGAAATACAGTGGCTTACAGGAGTGCTCTTCTAAGGTTTGGAGGCAGAGTCATTCCTCACTTTGACACAAGAGGCCATTTGCTCTCCTTACAGGAAACTAAGCCTTAACTTAACACAGATTCATAATCACCAAGTCTTCCAAAAAAACAATCCCAGGAACTTCAACTAATTTGACAAAGTTGTACAGATAGAGCAAGTAAAAGTAACAGAACATGTTTGGCTGTCTCCTACAGACTTAGACCAAAGAACTAACTCCTGCAAAGGCTCTTAGTGGTTCCTGTTCTGTCTCAATATTTGAAGGCTCTAATAAACTCTTGGCTCCCTATCTGTTCCATGGGAGAAAAAGATTCTCCTTTTCTTTATTTAACCAGTCTTTTAAATCTGGTTGAGATAGCTTGATGTGTTGAAGGTAGCCTAAAGTATCTTTAATTTTCATAACAGAAATGACCAGACCCATTTGTAGCAATCACTGCTCTAATTATTCATTGAATGACTTGACTTAACCTGTTCCTGCAGGAAGCCTGAGATGTCTTTGATTGGTAAACAGTAGGAAGCCACAAAGCTGTCTTGTGCCAACAACAGACTCAAGCAAGAGGGCAAGGCAGCATGCACACTTACTCAAAATCTTCAAACTCCAGATCATTTCCCTCTACAGATGGGCTTGAGTTCTCTGAAGTGGAAGAAGAGGAGGACGAAGAGCGGAGACGGTTTTGTTGGTATCGCATAGAGCGTTGTCGAATACTGTCCCTTCGGGAAAGATACTGGATCATCCTCTGAGCATAATATGCAGCAGGAGACAACCTGAGGAAGAGAGAGATACACAAACGCTCGTTACACAAGTATAGAATAACAGCCAGTCCTGTTTTTCCTTTTGAGCTCCAAGTGCCAGGACAGTAACAGCATATCACAAAACTGGCTGTTTGCATTTTATGCGTAAGTAAGACAGTAAATAAAGAAAGCAAGTAGAAGTAATTTTCCCTTTATACGCTACACTCCCACGTGACTCCCTTGTTGTGCAAACAGAAGCACTACACAGTATCTATAGACAAAAAACTCATTCACAGCACAGAGAAGTTTGCTTCTCGGGACTCTTTGGAGCTCATTGTTTCATTTATTCCAGTTCACACAACTAACCCCAGCAAGCATCCCTGATAAGAATCAAGCCCACTCCCAATGTGAGTTCTGCTTGCAATGCCAAGCAGCAGCATTCAAATAAACATTGAAGGAAGGTGCTGTTGTCTTGAGGGTACTTAACAGGAGCACCATAAAGTATCAAGCAGGAGAAAAAAATGTTTACAGCTTTGTTTAACTACTTTGTAATCCAAATGGTAGGGATTTCATACAGTGGCAATTTCAACATACATGTAGTGGATCTGATAACAGGAGCATTAAAAGCCTTACATCCCACCTGAAAGGAAAACCTTCCTCTGCAATTAACTCTTAATTCTCTTTCATATATAACTTGGCCTTTGTTTGCATCAGCTATCACGTGCAAGTATTACCCCCTTCCTTGATGCTAGACAGGTAAAAAACACACTCTCTTTTCCTAACCTGCATATATCCACAGCTCCTAGCACATGTTTTCTGTGACTCAGTTACTTGGTATTAGAGTCCAGACACCTCAGATGCTTGAATAATCATTTCTTTAGTCTTATTGGGATTAGACTTGAACTCTAATTTGGGGAAGGAGAGGAGAGGAGAGGAGATGACAACACATACACCCCACCCCCCAAGTAATTAGACATTAAGATGTCTATTCCTTCTTTACCTTCTCGCTCCCCTCGGCTTCCATACATGTGTTTGATTTTGTTCTTTTTTATTCAAATCAAGTTACCAGACTGGTACTTCCCAGGGTCATGAAAATACAATCTCATTTCCTGCAAAGGCACCATGGGCAAGAGACGGATAACGGAGAGAGCAGCCCTAATTTTTAATCTATAAATGAAAGTGTGAACAGCTTGAAACAAGGAAAAATAAAACAAAAAAACTCAAATGAACAGTGAATTCCAAGGGATAGTCTAGAGATGAAAATATACTCATTTGCAATCACAAAGAGAGGTGGCCTGTCTGCCTTACAGGAGTGCTACCTATCTTCAGAACTGAGTTTCAAGCTAAATTCATCCTACAGTGGACCTCATCGTCAGCCATGAAGATTCTTAAAGATACGTTTAACTTTATAGCAACCAATACCACACAATTTCACTGTGTTACACTACAGCCAACAACAAAAATGCAACTCCATAATCATCTCTGATAATATGATTGTTAGAAGGCTTTTTGTTTTTTCTCCCTTCCAGAGGCTGTGCTGATTTTATGGGAATGTACTGGGAATAAGATTTTGCTTATATATGGATAACACTCACATCCACAACAGCATGAGCAGCAAACAATCAAACCAGGTCTGACAGAGTGCTCTGCTACTATCCCTAAAGTCATATTTCAATGGAAAACTACATTTAATAGTATTTCTAGAGACTGCTCCCTAGAGTAGCACAAAAGAAATGTACTAGTTCTTCAAGGGATAGATTGTATTAACATTGTTTTGGCTGCAGATGCCCGAAGACATTCAATCTCCTATTCCACCATACATTCAGGGCATATAAGCAAAGGAGAAGGTAGCAAGAAAGAAGGAATTAGAAGTCATGTAGACACAAAGAGAGAGTGTCTTCCCTAAGGTAAGCTCCCTGTACTCTACTAGGCTGCCATCTCGGTAAAGAGGCAAGTTTAGCAGACAAGCTACAGGCTCAAGGGTCTAAAAACTTAATCAATAAGCAGCAAAAGGATAAGAGGAACCACACACTCAATTTGGTTTGGATTCCTCCTGGATCTTTTATGCACTGTTTGATGAGTTAAAGCTGTTTATGCTTACATAACGTCGAAGGCTTTGCTGTACAAACACAGCACTTCTCTCTACTCCCCTGAAGACTTAATAGGCCAAGTATAAAAAAAGCAAGGCATTACAGCAGTGCACTCATAAATGAGGAGCTGTTCTCCTTTTTGGCCTTTTCCGTAAGCCAAAGTCTCCACTTACACCTAAAAATAAGTCTACAGCATAATATGTGCATATAGAGAAAGAAAGGAACATGGAAACAAGGCAACACTGGAAAACATGAACAGGGGTCTCAGCACTCCAACAGTGTAATCACTGAAACTTTTTTCTTTGCTAATATCACACCAAGGGAGAGTTTTCCAGAAGGATATGAAGAATGAGTTTTGCAGACATTCAGTCCTCTCAAATTATGCAGCACATCACAAGAAAAAACGCAATGCTGCTTGTTAGAAGAACAAGAAAGAGTAGGCAATAAAGACTGGCCATAATAGATGATGAGAAGCCAGATTCAACTTCCTGACAGCACACAGTATGTAGACTGGATAGACTGTGAAAAAGATTTCCAAAGAGAAGACAACAGGCTTACATCTGATACAGAGAGAAAGGTGCATAGGATAAAATACAAAAGGGCAGAGGAGAAACATATTCAAAGCAATAGGCTAAGGAATTAATCTTTGCAGATGAGTGCATGCAGGGGAAAAAAATTGTATTTGTCAGGCTGTATCTGTCTTTGGAATACAGTTATGACACAAATCAGAACGCCAGAACTGAGAGCCAGTGTAAGAGATTTAGCTGCCCTAGGGAGAATAGAAGGTTGCAAAGCAGAATAAGAAACACCGGTTAATATTAAACATATCTCTTCAGTTCATTCAGTTATTGAACACAGCTGTAAGTCAACTCCTGACCAAAGTTAGTCTACCAGCTGGCTAAACACATGCCAGTCACAGCAGGCTGCCTAGTCCACTTATTTCTCACTTGTGCTTCTAACAAAGCAGTGGCAAAACACAGATAAAGGTTATCCAGTGATTCTTAAACCAAGTTTGCATCCACAGGACAGTAGGCTGTATTTGACAACACCACAGGAGCTAAATTAACCTAGTCTCTGAGGTGACTGGTCCCCGTTTACTGGAGCAGATGGTTCAGAGGAAGAGAGGCTATGCTGCCACAAATGACTGCCACAAAACAAGGCACTGACTGGGAGAACTGCTGCAGTGCAATAACCAGAACTAAACAGCTTCTGTCTCATCCAACAACCATGTCATGTAGAGGCAGTGCATTCTCTAGGCACTCAGTGCTGCTGGCTGGCCAGTGAAAACTGGAATTGAGGGAAGGAAATGTTTTGCCAGCATTAGTAAAGTTCAAGTATCTTGCTCTAAATGGCATCATGAGTACCAAAGAGTGAGCTATTACATAGCACCGTGACCTCAGCTACAGCCAGATATCCAATACAGCTGGCCATATTTATGGACAACATGAAAATTTTTACACGAAGGCTGCTTCTCTTCACCCTCCCCCATTTTAGTATCTTCTAAGGAAGTATATTTAGGAAAAAAAAAAAATCACAAGAATGTCAACTTGAGAATGTCTAGACCCAGTTCCCGAAGACAGCCACAAGAATTGGTATATCTGCATCCAAGAGCATTGTCCTGCTGCGCAGACCCCCAAGCTTCCTTGCATTTCGGAAGTACTGACACCACTCATCAGCCCTGCCTTGATGCTGATGGCCAGGATGTTCACTGACATTATTACAGCTCACACCTCTAAACGTCTCTCAGCAAGCAGATATGTTTTAAAGGGGTTATCTGATTGGTGTCATTAATTTCCTTGGTGATATCAATGGTGGCATACATACCACCAATCCTTGAGCTGAAGGCAATGCTGGTAGCAGACACCAACTTTTGGTTGCTTCCATTCCACTTAAGCCTTCAACTCACAGGCAACATCCAGCCTGAGGGGTCTCTTTCCCAGTAACTTTCTAGCAGCTTCAAATTTTTTTCTAGAGACTTATCTACCAAACACCCTTGTGATGCTTTATATATGCAGTCTGGGAGCATCTTTTTGAGTATTTCTATTTAAAAGAAAAAAAAACCCCAAAACTTAGCTGTTCTTTGATGACAGTTTTATTTGATTCCTCTGCAGATTGTTTTCTAAGCTCAGTACGTATGGAAACTGTGGAGAATGACAGAACAGCCAAGCTGATCTTAGAGAAGTTCAGCAAGGCCACTGAGAAAGACTGCTGAAGTCTACATCAGAATATTCATTCTAAATCTGAGGGAACTTCAAAAAATATTCTCCCTGCCTCATTCCTGACCTAGGTTATTCAAATATAGCACCATTACGGACAGTAGATGCAGAAACAAAACTAACACACACACACTCTTAAAAATAAATGCTTCAGATCATGGAGTTTAAAAAAACAAAACAAAACAAACCCCCTCCATTGGAGACAGCTTGGTCTTAAGGAGGTATATATATTTTCCTTGGGGGTCGGTATTGGGACCAGTGCTATTTAACATCTTTGTTGGCGACACGGACAGTGGGATTGAGTGCACCCTCAGCAAGTCTGGTGATGACACCAAGCTGTGTGGTGTGGGATCAACACATGGGAGGGAAGCAATGCCATCCAGAGGGACCTTGACAGGCTTGAAAGGTGGGCCCATGTGACCCTCATGAAGTTCAACAAGGCCAAGTGCAAGGTCCTGCGCATGGGTCAGGGCAATCCCAAGCACAAATACAGGCTGGGCAGAGAACGGATTGAGAGCAGCCCTGAGGAGAAGGACTTTGGGAGTATTGGTTGATGAGAAGCTCAACATGACCCAGCAATGTGTGCTTGCAGCCCAGAAAGCCAACCGTATCCTGGGCTGCACCAAAAGAAGCATGACCAGCAGGTTGAGGGCAGTGATTCTCCCCTTCTGCTCTGCTCTCATGAGACCCCACCTGGAGTACTGCATTCAGCTCTGGGTCCCCCAACATAAGAAGGATGTGGACCTGTTGGAGCAAGTCCAGAGAAGGGCCACGAAGATGATCAGAGGGCTGGAGCACCTCTCCTATGAAGACAGGCTGAGAAAGTTGGGGTTGTTCAGCCTGGAGAAGAAAAGACTCTGGGGAGACCTTATAGCAGCCTTCCAGTACCTGAAGGGGACCAACAAGAAAGCTGCAGAGGGACGTTTTACACAGGCATGTAGTGATAGGACAAGGGATAATGGCTTTAAACTGAAAGAGGGTAGATTTAGATTAGATATAAGGAAGAAATTCTTCACTCTGAGGGTGGTGAGACACTGGAACACGCTACCCCGAGAAGTTATGGATGCCCCATCCCTGGAAGTGTTCAAGGCGAGGTTGGATGGGGCTTTGAGCAACCTGGTCTAGTGGAAGGTGTCCCTGCCCATGGCAGGGGGCTTGGAACTAGATTAGCTTTAAGGTCCCTTCCAACCCAAACCATTCTATGATTCTATGATTTTTAATATATATTTAAACACACATACACACAGAGATATATATAGATGTATGTTTATTTCACCTTTGTTTCACTCTTCTACTTTGTTATTTAAGAACATCTGAAAGTCATAACATTCTGCTACAAACTTCTGATGCCACAAAAAAACCTCAAAATGCAGTAACACTCCTTTTAATCACATCCCCAATTTCTAACAAGTTAAAAGTTAAAAGGGACAGTTAAAAAGATCTTACTAGCCTAGCACACCAGTAAGTTTTATGGCAGGAGACTCTGATCTTACCCCAGTCAAACTTCCAGCTCATGCTGATTATGCATCTATGAATCCCATCCTCTGAAAAGGACAGTGGCACTTACTGGAGCAAATTCACCCTCTTAGAAGTTTTAACACCGGACTTTTCTTCCAAAGCTCCTTATAAACTCAAGCTGCTATAGCTTCTACCACAACCTAAAAACACTTGAACTGTCACATGAAGAGCATCATATCAGTTCAAAAACGGCTTCAAGTAGAAAAATACTTTTTACAATGCTCCTTATGCTAGGAAATGTCTCAGGCAGTGATCCCTTTTCATACATTTTATTGGGCTTCATCATAGTAGGGATCTGACAGAAGCCGGGGGGGGGGGGGGGGGTGGAAAACAA